TAAAGTGTCAATCCCAACAACTGCAACGATTGGCTGTGTTTATGGAGGATCGTGCGAGACTAGACCTCAATGCTGTACTCTCACGCAGGTATCAAAAGTACATCATGGCCGCACCCGCAAGGGACAGATTCAGGTAAGTAAATCTCACCTTTAAATGCCCCCAACGGACCACCAGCGGCGATGTCACAGTAGAGGGTCTTTGTAAATTATGCAAAGTCCCCAGACGGTGACAGTCCTGCCTTAATGGGAAACTATAGTGCCAGGAAAACAAACTCGTTTTCCAGGCACTGTAGCTTCCACTTATGTCAAGGCCCACCCTCGTGGTGCAGAATAAACCTTCTGTCACTTACCTGTGTCCAGCACTGATGTCCCTCGGCACTGGCTCAGCTCCTCCCATGCTCCGGGGGGAAACCTAATGAACATGCGCGGCAATGGTCACTCTCGCATTAGAATCTCCCCATAGGAAAGCATTATTCAATGCTTTCCTATGGGGATTCCGGCGACGCTGGGGGTTCTCATGTTTAGCCGACCAAAGTCGTCTAAGAATCTGGAAGTTCCTCTAGTGGCTTTCTGGTAGACAGCCACTAGAGGAGGAGTTAACCCTAGCAGGTAATTATCGCAGTTTATAAAAAAAAGCAATAACTACCTGCTCAGGGTTAAGGGTGATGGGAGTTGTCACCCAGACCACTTTAATGGGCTGAAGTTGTCTGGGTGCCTAAAGTGTCCCTTTAAGTCCAATTAAACATGTGATTACTAAGGTGCATTTACAGAGTAGAGCTGCAATATGATCTAAAGCAGATAAATCCCCTGGTCCCAATATTTACAATTAGATCAAAAAAATAAAAAAATAAAAATAAAGAAGAAATTTTTGATCTTGAAAGATTTTATTGGCATGGTTAAATGGCTAAAAAAAACATGTGCTTTAGAATGGCAAATCAACCCATAGTCTTGCATGAAAAATTCTTTACAGTTCACAGTCATTCCGTTACAGGTTACAATAGTCAAAAAAATAAAATAAAAAAAAAGAGTAAAAACAACAAAGGAAAAACATATTAAGTACTTGCACGAAATGCTGTACATCAATTATAACTGTTTGGCAGCAAACGGAAGTTAAGTCACTTAAAAAACAGGTCCACTTTTGCTGGTAAGGTAGCATTGTTGAATTGGTTATAAAAAGTATTCCGTTGAAGGTTCTGTACATATACAAACACACACATTCACATATACATATATATATATATGTGTATATAAACAAGGTTCTTCGGGTAATACAACAAGATTTTGGCCTTGAAGAATTTTTGATTTGCCTACATCCACCATGTATTGTGTTCCAGAGATCCAATAGGATCGTTTGATGCTCATTTCATTTCTTGTAACAGGGCAGGAGATGTCTACACCGGTCGAAGAACAAACACGGCGTCATCCAATACATAGTAGTCATTGTACATGTCTCCTTCACATAAATAGGGGAGTCTGGTGACGGCCTCCACAACAAAGCCTGTGTTTTGGAAGACATCAGCGAGGCTGTTAACTTGTTCTTCCCAAACTGTTCCGTTTACTTCCATGGCTTCGGATGGCTTTTCCCACTTACCACCTGTGGAAGCAAATCGACACAAAATCTAGTTATTTCATTGTACTACTGTATGTGTAGGAATACATATTAATTAAACGCTGGGGTTGAAATTAAATCATATCCAAATTTAGGACAAAAAAAAAACGGATTTGGAAAAGGTATCCAGAGCAGCTTTAGTGACAGCTTAGATATTTTAGCCTTAATTTTGCAATTTGGATTTTAATGCACTACAGTTTGGTGTCATGTAGACACTGAACTTTCCTCTTAGTGATGCATTGATTCATTTAATCTCTATGAGAAGATGCTGATTGGCCAGGGCTGTGTTTGACTTGTGCTGGCTCTGCCCCTGACTGCCCTCCTTGACAGTCTCAGCCTATCCAATGGGAAAGCATTGTGATTGGCTTTTGTTCAACACTTCTGATGATGTCAGCCAAGGGGCAGAGCCAGAACAGCAGCAGACTGCAATAAAAGTAAGATTTTGCTATATATAGGGGGACAAGGAGGATCCAGGGTGGCTAGATGGTGGTTTTAACACTACAGGGTCAGGAATACATGTTTTTGTTCCTGACGCTTTAGTGTTCCTTTAAACTACACAAAATTCCAATAGTCAGCAGCTAAATCTGCATGTGGCATCCCTCTCTATTTTGCATTGTTCCAAACTGTAGTCCAGAGGGAAGAACACACAGTCGGGGTGACCAGATAGAATAGTGGGTGTGCAGTAAAAAAAAAAAATCACAAATTTGTATAATTTTGAGATTTTTATTGTATGAGTTTTATTGTATTCGTTTTCAGCACTATTTTTCTAGTACATCACTATAAATACTTACACATCTATCTGTAAGTTCAAAATGTACAGTTGTGCTATATATATATATATATATATATATATATATATATATATATATAAAATTTACCCCTGGTTAGTATGCCTTGGCTTGCGGTGGCGAGTAACTAGTCCTTGCTAGTAGCTTAGCATATGTGTGTGTATGTGTATATATATACATACACACATACATACACACACACATACACATATGCTAAGCTACTAGCAAGGACTAGTTACTCGCCACTGCAAGCCAAGGCATACTAACCAGGGGTAGATTTTATATTCATCAACAGTTAGTGGTGAGTGGAAATTCTGATCCCTGTATATTGTATGTATATGTATATTATATTTTGTATACATACACACACAGACATATATAGCTCATCTTCAACATGATGTGTAATTATAAATGCTTATCTGATGAGGTTTGTATAGTGGACGGAGTGAAACCGTTTGGGTTGCACTCTCTCGAAGCAAGACATTGAGTGTTGCAATTTGTTTGTTGAAGGACAGTTTGGCAGCTATATTGCTGTGTGGAGCAGTTACAACACTTCCCGCTTTGAGAGAAAGAAAAAAGTTTAAAAAAATAAATAAAAATCAATGTCTAAGAAATTACTAAAACAAAAAAACTAAGTAAATTGTCTGACTTTAAGGAAGAAAAAAAAAATCAAAAAAAAAAAAAATCAAAGTGAATACATTTGTCCAAGTACAGACAGGGTGACAATGTATATGTGACACTTGTGTCCTTTGCTTATTTGTGACAATCACAGAACACATCCAATGCTTACTGATTACTGACAGACAACTTAATGCAGCTGCACAATTGGGTTAGTAAAATGTGAGCCGATTAATAGCTCTCATTTTAAGCCACATTTCTCAACACGTCAGACAGTCAACCACCAAACCTGGGCGGTACGTATATTTTATTTGGACATAGAATAGTCATAGTATTCTTCCTTACTATTATTAGTAGTTGTAGTATTTATATGTTGCCAACATATTCAGCAGCGCTGTACAATCCATTTGGGATATATATACAATAAGTATTGACATACAAAGTAATGTTGTCTGAGACAAAAGGTGAAGAAGGCTCTGCTCAAACAGGCTCACAATCAAAGAGGAAGGGAAAGAGAAACGCAAGACGATGAAAAACATGCCTGAGGGGGAGGAGATGAGAGATATGACGGCTGTGTTTCGTACGTTGTGGGGGCAGTGTAGAGTGAAAGCATTGGCTATATGTGGGGGTTGGGAGGACTGTCAGGAGAACGTCTAATAAGACATGGTAGAACATTCCATAAAATAGGTGCAGCCCTTTGGAAGTCCTATAGACAAGAATGATCAGAGGTGGATTAAACAGGGGACAAGAGAAGGTCATTGGCAAGCAAAGGGAATGACATGGTGTATATCTGTGAATTAGAGAGGAAATGTAATGGAGGTAGAGTTTTGATAGCCTTTATGGGTTAATGTCAGTAGTTTGATTTGGATCCTGTAAGATACAAGAAGCCAATCTAGAGACTCGCAGAGGATTGAGGTGTGGGAGGGTTGGCGGGTGAGGATTTAGAGGAATAGGCAAAGCCAACGAGGAGTGAGTTGCAATAATCAAATCTTGAAATGACGTGAGCATGAACCACTAGTGCATATGAGAGGGAATGTCTGCAAATACGGTTTGTTGAGATTTTAAAGAGGTGCAGATATTCTTTTTGTAATTATACAGAAAATTAGACATTTTTCTTGCTGTATGATAAATATTTCTTTCAATATACAATAAATGGTATATACATATCGAAGAATGTATTTACTTTGTTTCGTCTATCTGTTGCAATCTAGTCTTATTCCTCAAGAACTAAAAACCACTTGTGCCTAAAGTTTCATCTACTGTCACAGCAAAATAACAGAGAAGTTGAATTTGTAGAAATGAGTTGGCCATTATACAGTGCTAAATCAGGAAGTGTCCCAATGCTGTGCTGAGATACACTGTCTCGCAATTTATTTTCTTGATCCAAAACCTATTTCCCTTTTCTCGCAACAGAAGACACAGTTACCATGGGCTTAAGGGGCTTGCTTTTTCTTGCGATCACTTTGATTCACACCCACTGCAGTGAGTACGAAAAATCTATACATGTGATAAGCTTAGGGACACTGTTTCTAGCTAATGGAGTATCATTACAAATTGTGAAAAGGATACTTGCTTTTTGGAACACATTTGTAACAGCATGTGATCATGTATGTTCAATGTGATCTACATTAATATAGGCTTACTCTTAAAAATGGATGATTTTAAATACTTGTGACTAGAGAGATTTGTTTAAAAAAAAAAAATCTGGATTATTTGTTGGGAAAAAAGTTAATATTTTAACTATTTTGTTTGGTATAGAAAAACAGAATGAGAGGCACTGACAGTAAATCACTGTTAATTTTGTCAACTAAAATATTTCAGATTTAGTTGACTACAACAATTCAGATGACTAAAATACAACTAAAACGGCATTTTAGTTAAAAGACTGACTAAAATTAACTTGAAATTTGCTGCCAAAACTAACACTGCAGTAAATGTGCAGTAATCAGTAACTTGATTATGTATTCAGTTATGTTATTTATTTTTATTATTTTTTTTAATGCCATAGAAACGTGTTTGTGCTGTTGGGGCGTGAAACGCATCAGGTGTACTTCTATTCTTACATGTACACAAGATTACTTTGTTGGGACACTGTCAAACCATATTTGTTAATAAGATAGGAGTCCGGATTCTAGTAAAATATATAAGAAAAATAAAAATTTAATTTAAACCATGTGCTCACCCATATAGTTTTGTCAAATTTAAGTCTGGACATTAATATTATTTGAAGGAAGTCTAAAATCCACTGTGATGTTGTGGCATTCATAATTCAAAATTGAAAGCAAAGATAGAAAGAAAAAACAAACAAGGACTCTTCCAGGACTTAATTAAAAATGTATAATTTGGCATATAGACAGAGCCAACTGCCTAGGGCAAAAATAATACATAAACACTTAGAACAAAATTATATATTTCATTACTGTACTGTAGCACTTGTGAGAGATCGCTGAACACAAATGTTTGTGAATTGTTGCAGTAAAAGCGAACAGTATTTTGGCATTCACAGTGAAAATGCCATGCAGAACTTGAACAATAACAATATTTCTGAATGTATTTCATATTTTATTGATATTAAATTATGTTTCATATATGAATATTTAATGTGAAATGAAAGCCCAGTGCTTCGGAACAAAATTATATATAATAAGTGTAGGTGTCCTTAATATGAAAATCGCTAAATTATGGTTGAACAGACGTATAGCTTAAACTCTAGGGTTTGTTTTAATTAAGAACTTGTACAATTGCCTCCATCCTTAAGGGGTTAGTTACATATTGAGGGGCCCGTCTAATTGTCTGATTTAGAAGAAAAAAAAAAAAAATCCACAGTAGGATAAAAAATGTAGAGACGAGGAGGGTTAAAATAAAATGAGGGGACATATAGGCTTCCCCATCAAGGGAATATCCATTTAAGGCATGGCTGTCCCGGAACTGCACCTAGCCCATGGCACACATTTTCAGATATCTCTGTAGTGCTGTGTTCCAAGCAGAAACGTTGCACAGACAGATTCCTTGCTCCAGGACCACTTCTAAAAGTAGAAGTGTTCATGGAGGACAGCGTAGCCCTTGAAGGGAAAATTCAGGACAGCAAGCGCACATAAAAACATCTGTGATTTGAAGTTCAATGAGTACTGCACCCTCAATTTGGCTGGTGGGACTCGGTTACTTGTTTGCACAGCATGTTTCCTGCTCAATTGTACAGATGACACCACTCTGCCTTATTTCACACAGGCCTGGGTTCCGTAGGATATCTCTGTCCAAAGACACCTATGAAACCCTGGGGAAAGACTTGGCCCAAGGTCTATTAAAGTGGCTCTCTCTTCGTTGCATCCATTCTTTCCATTTCTTTACTTTTTTCTGCTACTTATTTATCTTTCCCTTCTATTCTCCATTCTCCTCCCCCTCCCCCCCATCATGTTTATCTTGCCTTTATTAATTGGGAGTGCAAGTTGCAATCTACCAGAATCATCAGATCTCAGAAGGTGTTGAACAGAGATCTATAGGAACATTGGTAAAGAAACTTCAAACATCTGTGTGCTAACATTTAAGCAACACAGCAATTTCATATGTAATCTTCTAGAAGAGGGGTAGGCAATCTTCAGCACTCCAGATGTTGTGGACTACACCCCTCATAATGCTCTTACGCCCATAATGCTGGCAAAACATCATGGGAGGTGTAGTCCAAAACATCAGGGGTGCCGAAGGTTGCCAATGCCTGTTCTAGTACATAGATGGCAGGAAACAAAAACAAAAGTGGTTCAAATGCAAAGACAGAGTCTCATTAAGTACATTAATAGCCTTTGTCGCAAGAATAATAAGTGTATTGGTGTTTTGTGTATTTTACAGGACTTATACAAGGCTGCAAGGTGTCGGTGGTTCAGGATGAAAGCTGTGTAGCAGTTGTGTCACAGGGCAGTGTCCGTTTATCCTGCCATATCACAACAGGCTGCGGAGAAGATTTTAACACCCACTGGTTTCGCTATTTGGTTTCTGGGCACCAAGAACTGAGTAAACTAGGACAGGGCTCCAAGTTCATTGCTACAAAGTCTGACAAAACTGCCACGTTGGAGATCAAAGACCTGCAACTGAACGACAGTGCGGTATACGTATGTGGAATCGTCTTCACTAATGCCGTAGCGACCGGTTCTGGAACTACACTGGTGGTAAAAGGTTAGTCACTGCATTGCAAAAAGAATAATCAGGACAGGAAATGGTAGCTGAAGCAGGTGGTAACCAATTAGACATTTTTGCTTATGAGAGAAGTCCATTTCACTAGTGATGGTGTATTAGGGTATTTTTTGGGACGCCTACGGTCATCATAGCTATACTGGCATAGCAACACCATTACAGTAATTAAAAATGGACAGAGGCAAAATTGGTCCATTTATTATTAAGGTATACAAGAAGCATAGCTCCATAGTCTCGAAGTTATTGTGTTTGGACACTGCAATTAGGCTTTGGAGAATGGCTTTCATGTTGCACCTCTCAGAGGGTTTCATGTAGCTAAAGTTGTTTTGGTGCTCAGAGTGTCCAGTAACGTTATAACAGCAGTAATTTATTTTTATTTTTTTTCAAATCATAGCCTGTCATTGCCCATAATGACACCTCCAGCAGAGGGGGCAGGCTTACAGTGTCAGGAAATCTATACCCCAAAACTGCTTCATTGAGCTAAAGCTATTTTCGTGCTTAGTGTCTCAATCAAAATAAAATAAAATAATAAATCACAAAAGATGTCCAAAAATGTGTTTTCAAAACAAAATTGAACAGCAATACACAGCTAAAAAAAAGAGCTTTGAAACATGTGGGTTTACTAAATAGATACAAAATGAACAGGGGAATTATGTAAGTTTTAGGTCAAAATATCTGGTTGGTAAAATATAAAAAAAAAATTAAAAAAAATTTGGCCTAAATTTTGCAGTTCCCAAATCCTGCGTCCACAATATTGTGTTTTATAAAGAAAATGCAATGATAACTTTGAATTGAACAACAGTAATAGGATCAAAAGCCAAGGCAAATTAATTTGTATGAACTCTCACTAATTGACACATTGACCAAGAATTCTCCAGTCAAATGATGAAGTCATGTCAGATTACAGCCCATACAGAATATACACTTTATTAATTACGTTCCATTGGCTTTTTAGCCTTTTCCTGATGTTCTAGGTACTTAATGGTTAAGCCCTAGACACGTATCAACCCACACCATCTGTACAGACCCCTGTCCTCGAAAGTTGGGGACAAAAAATCCAGCACATATGTTAAAAAAAAATTAGAGATTAATTTATGTGCAGCATTATACTTTATTTATCTAGCACTACAGAATCATGATATATATGTTCATATTTTGTGTTTGTATGCTTACAAAAATATAGACATGTCATTTTTAGAGGGTCATTACAGGCACCAATACAACCTTGATGCATTTGATAGGTTTTGATCTCATTAATTTGCTGAATTTCTTTGCATGCTCAAATCTTTAAAGTTTTTGCATAAAAAAAATAAATGTTTTGCAGACTGTTAAACCACAACCATGCCCCCTCACTCCATAAAAAGACTTCCTTATCATAGGTATGCACATAGCTTAGCCACTGACAGCACTAAGCGATCTGAACTACAATAAAACCTGTACTGGAATGAGACGACAACCAGGGAGACGTATAGTAAGGATATCTCTACCTGTTTGTAGTTTGTCTTATTGTACAAAAACTGTAAATATTTGAGCATTCAAAAAATCCTGCATATTAAAATGTACACTCCACACACAAAGCATTTTAGTTTGCTGAAGTGCTTTATGTGTCTAGAGCCTGTCACGTTTGTGACAGCTTATATAAGACTATTATAAACACATGCACACTAACGCTACATATTTAAAGTGAGCCTGGTATGTATTAAAGGAAAATAAAATGTATAAACGTGCCTATTTCTTACAGAAATTTGCACTCATATATCTAGGGCAGAAAAGGTTTCCTTCTCTTCCCCCCCAGAAAGAGCAGTCATTCTGTGACAGTGCTCAACTGACCTACCCAGTCATATATATTAAAACTCATTGAGAAAGACTGGGAATGTGGTGTGCATGCCCTTTGCACTTGGGTGCTTGCAACACCAGCACAGAGGCTTCTGTTGTGGGGGGGGGGGGAAATGGGAGGACTTTAAATAGTTGCAGACAAGAGATTTGCAGCTCTTGTTAGACACAGCCCTGATTTTTTTTGTTTTAAAATGTAGAAATTAGTGAATGCATGTTTTCATTTGGGTATTTCTACGAAGTTGTTAAAAAAAAAAAAAAAAAAAAAGGTCAATCGAGTGTTCCTTTAATAATGCCAAAATCTATCAGATGCATTACAATCCTATCACTGCCTGGTTGTCCCTTTCAACAGTGGTAGCCATTACATTTTATAATCAACCTACAATTATGAATGGGTTATGAAATATTTATAAAGTGCACACAAGCATAACATAGCAAACAGAAATAGTTATGACAGTCATGTTCGATTTTTCTTTCTATATTTCAGAGCACCGTGTTAGTACGGATTGCATTGTGCTGATCTTTCTCTGTTGTGTGCTGCTTATATACAGCATCGCAGTGTTTTTATTCACTTACATGGTAAGTAACGCACATCCTGTATTTAAATGTTAATGGTACTGTAAGTGAGGGGAGGTAACGCATAATAAAAGACTATTATAAACACAGGCACAGTAAAACTACATATTTAAAGTGAGCCTAGCACGAAGTAAAGGAAAATCCAAGCATTACAAACACTACAGCTTGCTGTGGTTATGGTGCTAGGAGTGCCTAGCACCCCAACCCATTATAATGAGTCAACACATTTTAGATTTTATTTTTTTTAACCTTTGGGAAAGGGGGAGGTGCACCAAACCCCTGGCAGCATAAACACTATAGTGCACTGTAGTGATTATGGTGTTAAAAATGTTTCTTAAAGGTTATTTCAGCTGCTGCAACTAATCTATTTGTGCATTATAATGGAAAATCTAGGCCTAGCATAAATATATAGTAAAGGAAACACCCAAGGGATAGTGTTGAAACTCAGGAGGAACTAGTGATGATGGCTCAGATGATAGTGGAACTAATATAGTATAATGTCACAAATAGTGGAATATATGGACAGACAGAGGATCTCTGAAGAAGTAGGGCTCTTTTCCCTACGAAACGCGTCAGACCACATAGCAGGATACAGATCCAGTCCACTGTTCATCAGCAGATGATCGTTCACACGCAGAACCCTTGGTCCACCTTGTAAACGCAACCGTCAGATCTGTCCGTCCCCCAGAGTGAGGCCTCTGCCGGGACGCACACACAGACGCATGCCATCCTCACCGGCAGTCTAAATTCAGGAGGCATATTTGCAAACATCCAATCTGCATCCATCCCAGTTGAATCCGAGGGTTCATAGCATCATCTGACATTTATAAAAGACTGGTAACAATACTGTGAACTGTTTCCGATTTATATTTTTATACAATTCTTATATTTTTAATTTCTGTTTAATAAACTGTTTTTTACAATTTATATCCAGTTTCTGCATCCGCTTCAGTCTACAGCGATACATATACTGTGTTGCGGATTTATTGTAATTATATATTTTATATCTTTGCCTACACAAAGTATAATACCCAGGGCAAGTATCATTTTTACCCTGCATTATATCAGGGATAGAGATACAAACACTGTACATTGATTTGCTGCATATTGATCCAGTTTTTTAAAATTTATTTTTACATCTTCATATCAAATTTATTTTTACATCTGTATATCTAATTTATTTTTATATCTATATATCATTTATCAAATTTCTTTCATTTTTGGTCTGCTGTACATATGGTTCTTTTATTTTTTATCCTCGTTCATATATTTTAAGGCATAGTACTTAATTGTTTAGACTTTTTGATTTTGCATATTTTTATATTTCTATCCTCTATCTGTCCATATTGTGTCATTATACTATATTAGTTCCACTACCATCTGAGCCATCATCACTAATTAGCTCCTGGGTTTCAACATTATCCTTTAGGGTGTTTCCTTTACTATTCTATTTACGAAGGTTTTGGTGAATTCCTACTATTTCCAGTGTGAGCGACTTAGTGTTAATTAGACTCCCTCTATTCTGTATATCTTTTTGGGTATACTAGTTTTCTCTAGCATAAATATATGTATGCATATATCAACAGGCTATTGCAGGGATACATAAAAAATACTGATACATGTATAAAATAGTATAAACAATCTTAAAATATGCATATCAATATTTATATAATTTCTTATTGCAGTGTGTTTTACTATTAGTTTGAGTAAAATCATGAGTACATTTTTTGTGTATATCCACGTTGTCTACTGAGATTTATTCCCCCCCCCCTTCAATTTACTGTTACACACACACACACACACACACACACACACACTCTCTCTCTCTCTCTCTCTCTCTCTCTCTCTACCAGGATATATTAAAGGGACACTATAGTCACCAGAACTACAGCTTAAAGGACCACTATAGTGCCAGTTTCTCTGAAACTGCTATGTTTATAAAAGAATGGGTTAAGCCTAGCTGGACCAGGCACCCAGACCACTTCATTAAGCTGAAGTGGTCTGGGTGCCTAGAGTGGTCCTTTAATTTAGTTGTTCTGGTGAGTATAATCATTACCTTCAGGCATTTTCATGCAAACATTGTCTTTGCAGAGAAAAGGCAGTGTTTATATTTCCCCCTAGGGACACCTGCAAGTGGCCACTCCTCAGATGGCCACTGGAGGTGCTTCCTAGGGTATTACAGTTTCGGCAGACCCGCGCGGCACTGGAAATAAAGTGAGTTTTCACCATTTCTAAAGGGGCTAAGGGGGGGCATGCCACCTTAAATGGTAGGTTAAACATTATAGGGTCAGGAATACAGGTTTGTGTTCCTGACCCTATTGTGTTCCTTTAAGACTAAGCTAGCACAAATGGTGCATTGAAACACATACACCTCTAGGTACGTGTCTACTCTTTGGACAGGCAAATCCAGCTCTGAAATTAACATGTTTGATACGTTTTAATAAAGAGTTGACATTTTGTTTTGTTAAAGGGACACTAAAGTCACCAGAACAACTACAGCTTATTGCATTTGTTCTGGTGAGTAGAATCATTACCTTCAGGCTTTTTGCTGTAAACACGGTCTTTTCAAAGAAAATGCAGTGTTTACATTACAGCCTAGTGATAACTTCACTGGCCACTCCTCAGATGGCTGTTAGAGATCCTTCATGGGTCATGGCTGCCTAAAATGCATCCAAACATTCAGTATCTCCTCCCTCTGCATGCAGACACTGAACTTTCCTCATAGAGATTCATTTCATCTCTATGAGGAGATGCTGATTGGCCAGGGCTGTGTTTGAATCTGATCTCCCTCTTTGTCAGTCTCAGCCAATCCAATGGGGAAGCATTATGATTGGATCAAACTACCACTTCTGATGATGTCAGCAAACAGCATGCAGAGTTACAGCTTCAGGCTTGAATACAGTAAGATTTTGCTATATTTATGGAGGCATGAGGGGCACAGGAAGGCTAGATGGTGGTATTAACACTATAGGGTCAGGAATACATGTTTGTGTTCCTGACCCTATAGTGATCCTTTAATGTCCTTAAAGGGACACAATAGTCACCAGACCAACTACAGCTTAATGTAGTTCTTGTGGTGAGTATAGCCTGTCCCTGCAGGCATTTTCATGTAAACACTGCCTTTTCGGAAAGACAGTGTTTACATTGCTGCCTAGGGACACCTCCAGTGGCAGTCACACAGATGCTCTGCATGGAGACACTGCACATTCTTTAAAGTCGTGCACTGATTTAATGCATCTTTCAGTGGAGATGCTTATTGGCCAGAGTGGTGTTTGGCTCTGCCCTGGCACCCCTGCTCGGCTGACATAGTCAGAAAAAGGAAGTCAAGTCTGATGATCTCAGCCATGGAGGGGGGGCGGAGCAAGAGTTGGCAGACCCTCGTTTGTTTCCCTTTTAAGGAGGGCAAGTGGAGGGTGGGGGTTCTGACACCTAAATTGTATTTTTAAATCTTTAGGGTCAGGAATACATGTTTGTATTCCTAATTCTATAGTGTTTCTTTAAGTGTGAGTGGGACTCAAGTCAAAGCCCCGTTCTCACGGCCGGCAAATCATCATGGGAGTTCTAGTTCTGCAAGAGCTGGGAGAATCTGCATTTTTGCCAACCCTGATATAGAACAGACACCCAACTAGTCAATACTCACTGCCTAGAACAGGGGTAAGCAACCTTTTAGCAGGACTGTGCCAAAATAAAATTGTGATATCCTGTAGCATGCCAGTCCTACTTTAACACTGAGATGTGTATGTTGCCGTATTCTGGTTGTGTTTTTTTACACTGCAGTTGCTTTGTATCGTTGTATTTGTGCATATATGAGCTATTATAGTGTATATGTTTAGAAGTAGTTTGTGGTGTGGTGTATGATACCTATGAATGTAGGCTACTTGTAGAATTGTGTGTGGATGGATATGTCACATTGTGTGTATGTGAGGGGTTGTTTGGGATATTGCATGTGAGAGGCTGCATGTGGGGTTGTGTGCATGTATGTGGATTGTCCGTGGTGTTGAGTTTGGGCGGATTGTGTGTCGGCTGTTTGTATTATTTGTATGAGGGGAGGCTTATTCTGCAGGCCTGTGTATATCTAGCAGTGTGGGTGGCTTCCCTGGGTTCCAGTGGGGACCAGGCTGACCAGGTACAGGTCAAGGACAGAAGCTGAAACAGCAGCTGCGGGCTGCTCTTCTACAGTGTGGATTCCCATTCACAAGTGCAGGGAGGAAGTGATCTGAGATCAGTTCCTCTACGTGCTGCAATGCATAAATTGAGGATTGTCCTTCACCACCTTTACGAATTAGCAGATATATGAAGTTTCACTGGGACTCTTGATAGGCCAGAACCGGTTTGGCTCTAGCAAACTTGAGTGCCGTGCAAAGACTCCTCGAGTGCCGTGCATGGCACACATGCCATAGGTTGCCTACCCCTGGCCTAGAACATGTTGCTTTTATGTAACTGCTACTTACTCTCCTGAAATAACTTCCAGATGGCATAATCTACAAGTTAAATGCCATTTAAGAAGCTGAACTTTGTTTTAAATAATACGTCCTTGTTTAATGCTATTTTCTAGTCAAAATTGAAACGGAGTAACTGGATCACAAGCAAGGGAAGTAACAGGAAGGAAACCGATGTAAGTCACCACTGAGTTCATCTTCTTAACAAATGCAAAAGTGGGAGACATGACATTTTAATAAAAAAAAATTAATATCTTACAGAAAAACTCGAAGAGTCAAAGGATTTTTCAAACACTAGCACAGGAATATCACAAAAGATATCCTCGAAAAAGAGACCACCAAGTAAGTCATATAAGCATCCCAAAACAATTTAATGGATATCGGTGTATCCAGATCTATCCTTTCACCTATTCATGAATCTACCTACACACTCAACTCTACACACTTGTGGTTGGGATATAGGTCAAGTGAATGGGGATTAACAGAACGCAAACTCAAACAGTCCCTTCCTTGAGTCTAAGGAAAACATGGAGCATAGATTGTAGTGTCCAGTGATGCAGATATAAAGTAACAGATGAAATTAGTATCTTGGACCAACAGGATTTGGAATGAGAAGCTTTCAAGGGACCCTCAAGTTAAAAACATTAGGACTTAAGAGAGGGAGGATCTCATGAAAGCTTTTCATTCCAAAAATGCTGTACGTCCAATAATACAAGTATTATCAGGATACTACATTTCATCTGTTATTTAACATCTCAAATAGACACGAAAACTAAACACGAAAAAAAAGTAAACAAAACATTTAAATCATCCCGACAGTATCACTTAAAAAACACTATGACAGCGGGGTCAGGTAAACCAAGGGATGAAAAAAAAAAAACACCTTATATGTTTCAAGTTTGCTCATTTGGAATTATTTTACTATCTTTTGTGGTTATTTATACTTCAGTTTTTGGTCATTCATCTACAGCAGGGGTGCCCCAAAAGTAGATTCCCAGATGTTGTAGAACTTCAACTCCCATGATGCCTTGCATGCCTTTAGAATGCTTTAGAATGACAAAGCATCATTGAAGCTTGGGTTTTAAAACATCTGGGGATCTACCTTTGGGGCACCCCTCTTCTACAGTATTTTATTAAGGTTATTTAAACTAGTATTGATGCTCCTTTGGAAACCACTGGGGTTCCCAGATAAGTAGAAGAGTAACACAACAAACTTCTAATCCCCTATACTACCACTGATGACTGACAGCAGTCTACGTAGGAACCAGAACGTCACAATATGCAAAACTCTGGGCCTTGACCATAACGCTGACTAAAAAGTTCAGTGAAATGGTCTATTGGTATAGAAAACCATTTGTGTTGCCCATATTTCCCCAACCCGTGACAATGCTTTATACACGCACACAGATTGTAGCTACTAGTACCTGTATAAACTCAACTATATATCCAGTCAGTAATACTCATTTTTAGATACTGTGATGTTCAGTGAACACTATTATCTACTTTCACTAATATGAGACAAAAGAAACAATTTAAACTTATTTTTAGTCTGTATTTGATTTTTCTATATTTTTTGCACAGAATGATGTAAAAGAAGAGGACACCATATATCAAAATACACAGGAGGTACGTCACACCTAGAACTTCAAGATACACTTCAGACCGCAGAACACATTAATCGAAAGAAACATCTATATATCTGTTTTGGATTGACATTAACTAGGAAGTAGATGGAAACTGAAGAATGTTCATTTAAAAACAAGCACGAAGAAAAGAAACGTAGAAAAATATATTTTTTTTTCTTCCTTTTTTCTTTTTGCCAACATGCGTTGGAGACTTTGCAAGTTGTAGAATGCCAACAACTCCACCTACTAATAACCTACAAGACACCGTTTACTCACCTTTATAAACTCAAGTAAGGATACCTTTCTAGAATATTTTCGTTTTATTTTTAAATGATGTTGTACGTAAGTATTTTGTCATTATGAATGGGATAATACCAACTATCTGAAGAAAAAAATAAATATCTCTGTAATATATATTTAAAAAAAAAAAACACACTGATGGAACAGTTTGTTACAGAAACAGAATTAAAAAAATAAGTGAAGAGGGATTATAACAAAGTTGCAGTATGTAAAACAGCATGGTATGGTTGCGTGAGCTCTTTGTCATTGTACAACAAACAATTTGCTTTCTGGCTTGAGTGGTGGAGAACAGCATCAACATCATTGCTTAAAGACTTTAAACGTCACTTCCCAGTATTTTCAGATTTTGTTTCTTAGTATTATATTCGATAAATATTTATTAGTGAGGTGTAAAAAGTGAGATGAGTTTATAAGATTCATACATCTTTATTCTGGAACTGTGTGTCTCCATCTTAGCTCCCTGTCAGCCATTGTTATAGGCTCTGTCCTTTACACCTGGCAGTCAACACAGAGAAATTAAACAATGTTCCTGTCTCCTCTTTGTAATGTTTACCCTGGTTTTGCTCTGTCTACACTGGATTATCATTTTTTTTTTATTCCATAGTGCAAATTACAGAGAAATGGCAGTTCCCCTTTATTAGTTTACAAAAGGCAAGAATACAGAACAGCAACTAAAATGTTCAATTCCATAAAGACAATATTGGTGGTACTGGTGTGCTGGCCCCAGTGGGGATATGAACAATTTAAAAACGCATAAAATACATTGCTGTGGAAAAATACAGAGTTAAAGCAGCTGCCAAGCTAATGGTTAAATCCACTTCCTTTAACCCACAGGAACATGCAGAGGATAAAACCCAAAATTAGGAAGCGCACTAACTGTGTGAATACAGTAAATGTAATCAGAACTATTTGGAATTTTTCTTGACAGTAAAATCAGTCAATATGTACATACAACAAATGATTATTGGGCAGACTAGATGGGCTGAATGGTTCTTATCTGCCGTCACATTCTATGTTCTATATTATATACAGACCCATTTAATTATATGTCTTCCACACATGTTCCAGTGGGGGTTACGTATGTACAAGAATTCTGGATGCAAAGTTGTAACGGTGGAATAATCATTATGCCAACCAATGGAACGTTTCTTCTGATTGCTTCCCTTGCTCCACATTTTTGCACAATAATTGATCTTCACAAATGACCCTACGTAGCTTCTGGAGAACACCCTACATATTTTGCTTCATGATTAACACAGCTTTTAAATATAAAGCCTCCGTAGTGGCACCTGATGTTAATCTAGAAAACATAGATCTATGGCAACTATATTAAGTCAAACATTTTAGATCAAATACATAAAGACTTGTTGGACTGATGAATATCCTGTTCTGTGGAGAAACCTTGACTCATTTACGTGCAATTAAATTTGCTTATATGGTTATTTCGGGATCTCTTTTTTTTTTAAAGCAAATGCCAAGATGTTCACTTTGGCAATTTGTCAATTTACTTAGTTGTGCAGGCCATGTGTAAAGGAACACTGTAGGGTTAGGAATACAAACATGTACTCCTAATGTTCTAATGTACTAGGTCCTATTTAGATTTGGCACCCTCTCTCCCCCCTTTTGATCTGTAAAAAAAACCTGTGAAAAAAAAAAAAGGCTTTTACTTTTTCCCCTTTCTCCTGTCCCGAAAGTCACTTGGTGCTGCTCCTCTCAGGACATCATCCTGAAGGCATCGCTTTTACAATAATTGCCCAATCCACTGTTTCTCATAGAGAAGCATTAGTGATGAATTGCACATGTGCAGCAAATGCCACATGTGCATCCAATCAAATGCTTCTGAGGTGCGTTTGATGACATTCAACGTCCTCATGGATGTCAAACGTCACATGACAGTCAAGCTCGGTCAATGCCTCACAATCGCCTCTGGTTGCTCTAAAAGCCACTAAGGTGTGTTTAACCCTGCAATCATCACATTGCAGTATCTCTAAACAGAAATGTTTTAGATTGACGGGCTAAATAGACAGGACAACTGCACCCAGATCACTTAATTTAGTGGTCCTTTAAAAAGGCACATGCATGACTTGACAATTACTTTTTTAAATCAGCAATCAATCACGTCTCAACAAATATACAAACCAAAATAAAGAAAAACTTTGAAATGTATGTAAGAAAGGGACACTACAGTCATCAAAAAAAAATTTACCTTAATGAAGCAGTTTTTTTGTGTATAGATCATGCCCATGCAGTCTATCTACTAAATCCTCTGCCATTTAACAGTTAAAAGACTTTGTTTATGCATCCCTAATCACACCTCTCAACATTTTGTTTAATTTAGAATTAGCTGGATAGACTCTGCAGGACCCCTCCTGTGTATGATGACAATATTTAAAGTAAGTAACATCTGATTGAAAATGAAACCATTTTGTTTTAATGCAGACTGTGTATGAGCCACATGCAGGAGAGGTGGGCTAGAGCTACATAAACAAAAACAGAAGTAATGAACTTCTAAATGGCAGAGAATTGAACAGTGAAACTTCAGAGGTTTGATCTATACACAAATAACTGCTTAATTAAGGTAAAGTTGTTTTGGTGAATATAGTGTCCATTTAACATTTAGAAACTTACTATAAACTTGGTCAGATTGCAACATTGGGCATGCTTCTCAGCTAGAGGAGTTTTTTTTAGCCTACCCTCCCATTCCTTACCCACCCATCTTAGTTTTAGACCTGTCCGCAAATGACAGAAACATGGCATCACATCAGCAGAGAGCCTTCTTTGCATTATCACACTGATCAAACAGATCAGATTCTCTATCCTCCCCCTGTCAGAATGTTGCAGGGCAGATAGATTTTCCAGCTGTACATGTATAAATCTGTCAGGTATGCCCAATACACTTTTCCAGCATTCCTAAGGATAGGTCACTGGTTGGTTAGATCAGTGTCCCTCCTGGAGTGGGTGTGGAAAGCACAAGTAAGAAGAAACAAAGTGAAAAAAAATTTAAAAAACATACATATTTTTTTTTTTTTTTTTTTTTAGCATGCAGAATACTAAAGCTTTTAAATGAGACTTATCTACGTGATCCATGTCATTTTAAATATGAAAACCTATGATTAGAACACTAGCAATAAAAAGAAAATAGAAAGACACTATAGAGTTTCTATGGGCCACTCACCATTTTCTACATAAGGGTGGAACGGCAGGACCAGCGCAAGGATAACTCGACCCCTAGTTGGCTCCAAGACCCTTCTCATCTCCTTCAGCAAGGTAACAGGTTGATGGCAGCGATCAAGGAGGTTTAAGCAGCTAATGACATCATACTGGAACCCTGTATTTTGCCATTCATCGATATTAAGTACTCTAAAAAAAAAAGAAACATTGTTTATAATTAATCTACATTACAAAATCACAGCAAGGTAACATCATTCCATTAAAGGGACACTATAGTCACCCAGACCACTTCGGCTCAATGAAGTAGTCTGGGTGCCAGGTCCCTCAGGTTTTAACCCTACAGATGTAAACATAGCAGTTTCAGAGAAACTGCTATGTTTACATAGCAAGGTTAATCCAGCCTCTAGTGGCTGTCTTCCTGAAGAACGTTCATAGGAAAGCATTGAGAAAGTATTAAGATTTTTATTTTTTTTAAGCCTCCTTTTGTTTCAGGATATTTTATTTACTGCCTGCTTTCTTAAATTTGCTTCAGCTTCCTCTCACGCATTAACAATTGAAGCCACTACTGTCCATATGGGGGCTAAACTTTCCGGGTCTTTTCAAATCTGATACATTTGCAAATTCTATGCACGGGCTTCTGTGCCAAATTTGTACTGACTTTGCGGAGGCCTGGCAAATTCTGCAGATTTTTATTCAAGCTTAACAAAAGTGGAGGTTAGCGAGCAATCCCCTAGTATCTCTGAAATTTAAGTAATATAGTTACAGGTGAAAGGCAGCTTTTGACATGCCTAAATTCTAAGGAACAAAAATCTGTGTGCCACACATTAACACAAACATGGCTTGAACAGAAACATACCTGGGTAGTGTACATTTTTTGTTACTGCTGTAAGCTCATTTGACATGGATGCTCGTCACCTGGAGTGTACGGAATATAAGAATCCACCATCTTTCATATGTATATAACATGCACGTACATACAGGTAGGGATCGACCGATATTGATTTTTTAGAGCAGATACCGATAATCTGTAAACTTTCAGGCCGATAGCTAATAACTTACTGATACGATATTCTGTACATTTACCATTTTGAAAAAATAATCTATTTCTACGCAAATTTACTGTTAACTGAACATGTTTATTTATTTTTTGAAATTCTTTTTTTAATTAAGGTAAATGCAAAAAATATACATGCCAGAATTTTTTATGTTTTTAAGAATATATGTGTGCAGTGAGAGTATTTGATTAGTAAATGCAGTGTGTGTGTGTGTTTCTGTAGTGGATGCAGAGTGTTTGTGTAGTGTGTGTATAGTGAATGCAGTGTGTGTTTGTGTAGTGTGTATATAATGAATGCAGGGTGTGTTTGTGTAGTGTGTATATAATGAATGCAGGGTGTGTTTGTGTAGTGTGTATATAATGAATGCAGCGTGTGTTTGTGTAGTGTGTATATAATGAATGCAGCGTGTGTTTGTGTAGTGTGTATATAATGAATGCAGCGTGTGTTTGTGTAGTGTGTATATAATTAATACAGCGTGTGTTTGTGTAGTGTGTATGTAATTAATACAGTGTGTGTATAGTGAATGTGGTGCGTTTCTGTAATGTGTGTGTATAATGGATGCAGTGATTGTGTAATGTGTATATAGTGAATGCCGTGTAATTAATACAGCGTGTGTTTGTGTAGTGTGTATAGAATGAATGCAGTGTGTGTGTGTGTTTGTGTAGTGTGTGTATAGTGGATGCAGTGTGTGTGTATAGTGGATGCAGTGTGTGTGTTTGTGTAATGTGCATATAGTGAATGCAGTGTGTGTTTGTGTAGTGTGTCTGTATAGTGAATGCAGTGTGTTTGTGTAGTGTGTATATATAATGAATGCAGAGTATGTGTGTGTGTGTATATAGTGAATGCAGAGTGTGTGTTTGTGCCGTGTGTGTATATAATGAATGCAGAGTGTGTGTGTTTGTGCAGTGAGTGTTTGTGTAGGTATGTTAAGTGTGTAAAATGGGGGGGGGGGCATTTTTTTTTTTTTAAATATTTAATGGTTTTAAATTATGTTTTGCATTATCGGTATCTTTATTGGCTGATACCGATATTTCTGAAAATACAGAATATCGGCCAGACCGACAATCGGTCGATCCCTACATACAGGCCACAATTTTGAACTGACTTTCTCATTTCTGGGCTTCCTCTATCGGTCTTCTATGTAATCCTGTTTGGTGAATGTTAATGTGGTATGTACACAACAGGCTAAAACACCACAAGGATATTGGTGTATTCAGTGCAGATATTGTGCTAAATATTGCTATATTACTCAACCTTTTAGCTGCACTTGAATAAAATACACTATCCTGGTCTTTGCTTACCTGTATTTCTTTTTCTGGAGTTGCCATATCATTGTCTGGGACATTTCTGTAACGTAGATCTCTTCAAAGTGGGGACTCATTACTCTTGTGACCTCCCCATCTCCTGCACCAAGATCCAGCAGTCGGTGTGACTTCCAATCTGGTCCAATTTTAAGAAGTCTCTGGAATTGTTCTGGGGAGAATACAAACATGGAGCCTCGTCCAAGTAGCCTGATGGAAAGGGAAAGAAATGTGAATCGTGGAGTAGTTTGAGCTCTGTCACGGACACATGCATACATGGTTATGCCATTTTCTTGCTTCTTGGAGCAGATGCCCAAAGATATATTGAACAACAGCAACTAATTTATGTGAAAAAAATATGGAAGCCATAAAACATTTGTCATCATAATGCCAGACTACAAGAATGAAGGTACATATGTGTGAATCCCACAAGTGTGCTGGATTCTTGCATCATTGGCAAGCAGAGAATCTGAAGATAACTACAAACAATATCAAGAAACTTACCCATTGATGGACGTCCTGGACATAAACATGCTAAAGACTGAAGACATGAAGGAGTGGTAAAGCTGTATAGACAGCCAGCCAGATTTCTCAATACTCCTGTTTAGAAATGTTTGCGTTCCGTGATCGAGATAACTTTGGACAAACATAGGCCGTAAAGCTTCACTTAACTTTTCTGTGTCACATAAATACCACTGAAAAAGAAAATACAGGAGTCAACATCTACAGTTCATGTTAGAAATAACTTTATTGAATTACTTTTGAAAGAGAGCAATCCAGGTAGTTTAAAAAAGAATTTCACACAAATTAGTTTTTGTATTAAATAAAAATTAAAGTGGTAAATATTAAAAGTGGTGGTTAAAGGAACACTATGGGGTCAGAAACACAAACATGTATTCCTGACACCATAGTGTTAAAACCACCATCTAGCCCCCCTCCCAGTTCCCCTAAAAATATAGTAAAATATTACTTGCATTCAAGTCTGCAGGGCCTCCGCCCCTAATCTGCCTTCTTGCCTGATATAACCAGAAGTGATTCTGTGAGCCAATCACAAAGCTTTCCCATAGTATTGCCTAAAATTGTCAAGGTAGAATCTCAGCACAATTCAAACACAGCCTTGGCCAATCAGCATCTCTTCATAGAGATCCATTGAATCAATGTATCTCTATGAGGAAAGTTCAATGTCTCCATGCAGAGGGTGGAGACACTGAATGCCAGTCACACTGTGCAGCACTGCCCCAGGAAGCACCTCTAGCGGCCATCTGAGGAGTGGCCAGTGGAGGAATCACTAGGCTGTAATATAAACACTGCATTTTCTCTGAAACAAGAGAGTGTTTACTGCAAAAAGCCTGAAGGGAATGATTCTACTCACCAGAACAAATTCAATAAATTGTAGTAGCTCTGGTGACTATAGTGTCCCTTTAATGGTGCATCAGACAGGAAATGACTGCGGTCATAGTGAATAGTTGGAACATGTGGCAGTTGCACACCGTGATTTTGTGAGGAAGACATAATCTGTGCTTCGGTGCAAGTTGTCACAAAATTGTCAGCAGGTTAATTAGGCTAATTTTCTTCTGCATATACAAAAAGCTGGAATTGTGATTAATTTCTACAGAAATCCTTTATTTAATCTGGGGTTTTTTTAAAAAACATTTGTAATTTGTTAATTAAAGCAGCTCTGTCAGTCCTCACATTTTTATTTTTTACCATAAAGCGGAGCTACCCTCGTCAAGCCCCCAGCAGTCAGTAGTGACTGCTGAGGGGAAAAAGGCTTTGCCTTTGGAGATTCCCGCAGATAGGCAGACATCATCATCATAATCAGTAAACATTCTCCACAGATATCAATGTTGTAATCTCACACATGCGGGAGAGTACAACACTGACATCAGATACTGTGTTTGGTTTGTGCTGGCTCTGCCCCTGATCTGCCTCCTTGACAAGCTCAGCCAATCCAATGGGAAAGTATTTTGATTGGTTCAGATCACCACTTCTGATGATGTCAAGCAATCAGGCAGATCAGGGGCAGAACCAGCAGCAGCTGACTGCAGAAAAGGTAGGCTTTGGGGGAGTAAGGGGGCTAGATGGTTGTTTTAACACTATAGGGCCAGGAATATATGTTTGTGTTCCTGACCTTATATTGTTCCTTTAAAGTCAAACAGTCACCCAGAAACATGTACATAACAAATGACCCCTGGAGGGCCTCAAACTATACAAGTACATCACCAGTAAATGTATAAATAATAGGTTTTCATAAAGTGTTCTTCTTGGATTATAGGATCACTAAATTCACCTAGACCACATTATCTCAATGAAGTGACCGGGATGCAGTGGTCCTGTCATTTTAAACCATTGCAGTTTCATAGACAAAATAGTATTTAAATTGGAGGGTTAAATCCACCTCTAGTGTACACCTGGTAAGGTACTGATATAACTGCATCAGCATCAACTGAATTAACTACTGTTTTGGGTCAACTGCCACTGCTACAATCTACAGCAGGAAAAAAAATAAAACTATTAAAACCTTGACAAAGTTATTTGCTTAATTAGAAATAGTCAAAAGCTGACAAAGAACGTTTTAGGCCTAAACATAAAAATTCTACAGGTTTCCTGCTCAGATATTTTTGGCTAACATTTACAATTCTCACATTAATTCTTTAAGAATAGCCCGATATATTGCCTTTGTGCACCGCTGTCACAAGCTCAGAATAAATCGTCAAACTGTTTGCAGCCAAAAGAAATAAAATTACTATTGTCACATTGAACAATGTTTTGAAATTTAAAAAAAAAAAAAATTATTGTCAAATCCATACTTTCATTCACAGAGACAATTGCAGTAAGGGTATGCTTGGGATGAGGGGAAGATAATGGAATATTCAACAGCTCTCTTGCCCTTGTGGCCTGTTAAAAGGAAAGCAGCGCAATCTACTAATGAATAGACCATTGACGGCTCTGGTACATAATGAACCGAAAGAAATGCTTTGGCTGAACAATACGCTGGGATGAACCGTTGAACAAAAGGAAATTAACATCACCTATTATCAGAAGATATTTAATCTGCAACAAGGAATGTCAGCACAATTCAACCAACAAAAGACCTTTTGCCAAATGATGTTTTTACACTGATTACTAAATGTATTCGTAAGAATGTCTCTGTGACCAGACACACATATCATTATTAGCCTGCTGTAAGCTTGAGGTGCAACGAGCTTTCTCTAAAACAAATACATGTGAGTTAGTAACACATTCTTTCCCAACAGGGTGTTGTAAAGCAGTCAATGAAATTTACATTGGAAATGAGTCAAGGATATAATACGGAAATAATTGTATTCATATAGGATTTACCCTGGAGGTAAATGTCCGCTTGAGAAAAGCACAGGTCAGAATAATCAGAATGACAAAACGAGAAAGTGGCCCAACCAAGCACAGCAAGTATGGTACAAAGTAAAAGCAAAAATCTGTGCTAGCATATGGTGAATATGGAGCAATCCACATAGCCCAAAGATTGTAATAAAAAGGCTTGAAGGAGGTAGGTGTGGTGGTGGTGGGTGGTGTGTGTGTGTTTTTTTTTAATGTTGTGTTAGGAGTGGCAATGTGGTCAGCGTGAGTCAGGGACCAGAGCAGTGCTTGAATTAGGAGATCAATATAAATTAGAGAGTATATGTATGTTCAGGAATTGTTTTAATTTTAGATTAAAAGGATATGGAACAATGTGGTCAGGGACTGTATCCAAGTCTGAATTGAAAGGGTATGGAAAAGTGTGAGTAAAGAGTATCAGTATTTTTATTGCGAAATTCAGTCAGGAACTGTATCAGTGTTCTAAGTGGGAAGGTGTGATATCAGGGACTGATATCATAGGAGTGCTCCAGGAGTGGAAGGCAAGCCCCTAAACATACTTTGTAGAAAAAGCCCAGGCACACCCAGAGGTTTCCTCAAAAAGGCAGACTTTATTCAGGAACAGTACATTACAAAGTTTTGGCTCTCATATGAGCCCTTGTCAAACCTGGTGAAGATGTTGTGATGCACTGTTCCTGAATAAAGTCTGCCTTTTTGAATAAACCTCTGGGAGTGCCTGGGCTTTTTTTTTTTTTTTTTTCAGAAACTGTATCGGTGTTTTATATTGAGAGGGTATGGAGCATGATGGTCAAGGACTGTGTTATTGTTTGAACTGAGACAGTATGGAGCATGGGGTTAGGGACTGTATCGCATCAGTGTTTGAATTGGGAATGTATGGAGCATGGTGGTAAAGGATTGTATCAATGTTTGAATTGGGAAGGTATGGAGCATGACGGTCAGGAACTTTATTGTATCCATGTTTAATTAAGAGGATGGAGCATAGAGGTCAGGGACTGTATAAGTGAATTGGGGGGATTGTATCAGTGTTTGAATTAGGAAGGTATGGAGCAAGATGGTACGGTAGCATAATGTATCAGTGTTTGAATTGGGAGAGTATGGGGCATGGGGTCAGGGACTGTGTCAGGAGTATGGTGGTCAATGACTATTTTAGTGTTTGAAATGGGAGGGTATGGAGCATGATGGTCAGGGACTGTATCAGTGTTTGAATTAGGAAGGTATGGAGCAAGATCGTCAGGGAGCATGACGTATCAGTGTTTGAATTGGGAGGTCAGGAGTATGGTGGTCAAGGACTATTTTCGTTTCTGAATTGGGAGGGTATGGAGCATGATGGTCAGGGACTGTATTGTATCAGTGTCTGAATTGGGTAGGTATGGAGCATAGTGTAAGGGACTGAATTATATTAGTGTCTGAATTGGAAGGTATGGAGCATGATGATCAGGGACTGTATTGTATCAGTTTCTGAATTGGGAAGGTGCATGATGGCCAGGGACAATATCATATCAGTGTTTAATTAAGAGAAAGGAGCACGTTGGTCAGGGACTGTATCAGTGTTTGAATTAGGAATGTATGAAGCATCACTGTCAGGGACTGTATTGCATCCATGTTTGATTATGAGGATGGAGCATAGAGGTCAGGAACTGTATAAGTGTTTGTATTAGGAAGGTATGGAGCATAATGGTCAGGGACTGTATCAGTGTTTTGAATTAAAGAAGGTCTGGAGTATGGTGGTCAAGGACTATTTTAGTGTGTGAATTAGGAGGGTATGGAGCATGATGGTCAGGGACTGTATTGTATCAGTGTCTGAATTGGAAGGGTGCATGATGGTCAGGGATAATATCATATCCGTGTTTAATTAAGAGGATGGAGCATAGAGGTCAGGGACTGTATCGTATCAGTGTCTGAACTGGGAAGGTGCATCATCGTCAGGGACTCTATCAGTGTCTGAATTGGAGAGTATGGAGCATGGGGTCAGGGACTGTATCAGTGTTTGAATTAGAAAGGTATGGAGCATGGTGTTAGAGACTGTATTAGTGTTTGAATTATGACTGTATTGGCATGGGGTCAGGGACTGTATCAGTATTTGAATTGGGAAGGTATGGGCATGGGGTCAGGGACTGTATCGTATCTATGTTTGAAATGGGAAGGTATGGAGCATGATGGTCAGGAACTGTATCGTATCAGTGTCTGAATTGGGAAGGTATGAGCATGGGGTCAGGGACTGTATCGTATCTATGTTTGAAATGGTTAGGTATGGAGCATGATGGTCAGGAACTGTATCGTATCAGTGTCTGAATTGGGAAGGTGCATGATGGTCTGGGAATGCATCAGTGTTTAAATTTGGAAGGTATGGAGCAATGGGTCAGGGACTGTATCAGTGTTTGAATTGGGAAGGTATGGAGCATGATGGTCAAGGACTGCATTAGTGTTTGAATTGTGAAGGTATTAGCATGGGGTCAGGGACTGGAGTGTTTGGATATACAATATGGGACAGTGTGTGCAAGTATGAATAGATAGGGGAAACTAAGCCACGATGAGTAAAATATACCAGTGTATACAGAAGCACAGAATTACCAACAGGCTGTATGCATGAGGAAGTGGATGCTAAAGTGCCATAAATAAGGGGATGTGGTATTGCAAATGAAATGATGATAACTCTGGAACATAGAACATGTACAAAGAGAAATTCTGGAATGGAGTAACAGTAGAGCAATCACCATGGAAACTATTCCCTGTTAATTACTCCACATCTACCTCTCTGCATTGCCCTACACCTACTAATGTCATGGCATGGGGGGAAGGAGGGGATGCCACAGGTACCGACTACTACACTGGCACAAGGCACTGGTGACTGATGTTTGATAATTTGTTGCATGAAATGTGAGGATTGAATTCAGAAGTGGCAAAGCATCTTGGGAGTTGTAGTCCTAGGTTTAGAAGGTCTACCATTTGTGAGATCCCTGGTGTTAGAGATAAATAAAGGAGGGGAGGGCGGGCCATTGTGACAGCAGGAGGTCTCTGTCCCCCCCCTGTGTGTCTGATCCTCCATCACCCTGCCCTGTCTGACCATGCATGGTCCCTGGTGTTAGAGATAAATAAAGGGGGGGGGTCCATTGTGACAGCAGGAGGTCTGACCATGCATGGTCCCTGGTGTTAGAGATAAATAAAGGAGGGGAGGGGGGTCCATTGTGACAGCAGGAGGTCTCTGTCCCCCCCCCCTCCCACCTGTGTGTCTGACCCTCCATCACCCAGCCCTGTCTGACCATGCATGGTCCCTGGTGTTAGAGATAAAGGAGGGGGGGGGGGTCTATGTGACAGCAGGAGGTCTCTGTCCCCCCTGTGTGTCTGATCCTCCATCACCCAGCCCTGTCTGGCCATGCATGGTCCCTGGTGTTAGAGATAAAGGGGGGGTCCATTGTGACAGCAGGAGGTCTCTGTCCCCCCTGTGTGTCTGATCCTCCATCACCCAGCCCTGTCTGGCCATGCATGGTCCCTGGTGTTAGAGATAAAGGGGGGGTCCATTGTGACAGCAGGAGGTCTCTGTCCCCCCTGTGTGTCTGATCCTCCATCACCCAGCCCTGTCTGGCCATGCACGGTCCCTGGAGGGGGACATTCACACACCTGGTGGTTCCCTTCCCAGTACAGGGCCTGGTTGTGGTTCATCATGTTCATGTACAAAGATCTGCTCAGGTGACTCCTCAGATACCGGCTGCTCCACATCTTCCTCAGCACGGCCAGGCAGACCACGGAGGTGAGCACCCAGCACACGAACAATTTCATCTAATCGGTGCCCACCGACACCACCCGGCACCGGGCCCGTGCATGGCCCAACGGGATGTACACATCAGCCCTAGGAGAAGAGAAAGCGAGGGAGGGGAACTGCTGCGGGGAGGAGAAAGAGGAGTGAATGGGACTTGAGACGAGGCGGAACCTTCGTTTTCAGCTCCTGTTTCCTCACGGACTGGTTTTCTGGCTCGAAAGACTTCCGCACACAGAGGGCGCTAGCTGGCTGGCACAGCGAATGGCCACTCTATCCCGCAGCATTGGCTCTATGGTTACATATCTCTGAACTGATAGGCTGAGTGTTGCCAGCCAGAGAATGTTTAGCTAACTTGTTGCTATGGTAACCATGGTACCTTATGTTTGTGCAGATGCTTATGGGCTATGTATACAGCCTAACTGCAGGGTGCAATGTGTACCTTCTTTTTTTCTGATAGGAATACTGTATTAAAATAGAGCTTAAACATAAAATACATTGAAAATATACATTTACTATTATTTTTCTTCCACATATGCTGGGACCAGCAGTAGGCTGACATTTATCAGCAAATTATTTTTTTTCCCAATAGCTTTTTGAGAAGCACTGTTCAGCAGGTTTTTGTGTGTATGTGTGTGTGTATATATATATTATACAGATAGTTCATAATTCACAAGCAGTTTCTTTCATGAAAATAAATTAATGAAAATTGGTTTTCCAGTGTTGTTGGTAAGATTTAAGGATCAAACCGTTGTCACTAAAGTGGCAGTCAATGACATCTGATTCTAGGCGGACAAGACTTTTTAACGGCTTTCGTAATAGTAAATGGGAGATGATAACCGTGACTTACGAACAGTTGTCATGCTTTTACTCGTTAGCAGCTCCAGCTGCCTCTATCACTCCCAATTTGAAACCTGCTTCTTCTTGTTGATAAGAGACAAAGGCCTGCAAGATGTGTCTGTACAAGACCATGGGACCAACATTCACAGACGCCTCTCACAGCTCCCTGCCTTCATGTCCAAAAAAAAAGAAGAGAGGGATATGAAAGTAAGCTGAATTAGCTATGTGTGAGAGTAGAAGGGAGTTTGTGGATACATAAAATATATATGTATACTTAAATACCTTTATACACAAAAAAGAAAAGGTATACTCAAATTACTGTATACACAAAAAAGAAAGAGTAAACTCAAATTACTATATAAGCGAAAAAAGGAAGGGAATTTTCACAACTTTGCTAAGTTGTTTGCAATTATCCTGGACTACCATATGTCCATTACACTTTGACACAAAAATGCAGGCTTCTTCAATCAAATGTGAGTGACCTGAAGATCATGCTAGCTATAATCTTAATTTTAGTAATGACAGGAGGCTTCATATTGTGCTTTAACTTCCTTTACTATCTCCAACAGCAGCACAAATCCGTAAGAAATATATAAACCAATAAAAAATGAGTAGGAGGTAATATAAGGGCACGATCATAAAAGCACCTCCTCTTCCTTTGATAAGAAATTTAACTGCAAAAGAAAATAAAAAAACAGAAAATGAACAACGACGAACAGGGAAAAACTTCTAACTGATCTGATCACAGGAATGATAAGAAAACAGCCTGATTCCCGAAGGCGTTCCAAAGTCTCGGGTTAAGCTGGAAAGAAAGAAAAACATGTGACAGGTATCTCGAAATTACAATATTTAAATAGAAACAAATTATAATATACTTCATCAATCATTAAAGGTATTATAACTATACACCTAACCTACATCATAACACTAACACATGCAACCTTTAATAAACAGTGAGTACTGCAACCTTTAATAAACAGTGATGTACTTGATTCTTGGTTCACTTCCCTTATTAGTACTGGGGATATGTCTCTCACAGAGCGGTTGGTCATGGATGTGGAAAGCATCACTGCGTTCTACCAATGTCGCGTCTGAGTACACATTTAACTTTCCATTATCTACTCTGAGATTGAATGTCCGGGAACGCACCGCGTGCGTTCTACTCTCTTACATGTCCGGTGGCTCTCTAATAACATAAGTGAACATAAATATTACAAAGGAAGAATTGGGTACACTGGAGCAGTCACCATTTTTAACAGCTCCAAGTTATCGTAACCTAATCTACTTGATAGCAGCCGCACCATACCGTATCTGCCGACATACGAGCTGGATCCAACCACTGGGCATCCTGCTGAACCCGCAGATGCCTTTTTTTCTTTCCCTGGGCAAGAAAAACAACAGCCGAGTCTTTAAGGTCTATTGCGTGGGTGGACAGAAACAAGAGATCGTGCTTCAGGCATGGAGTGCTGCTGGACTGGATGACCTGCAATTTGACTTCCACATGGCTGGTGAGACTTCCACATACCTGCCATAGCGGGACATAAGCCAAATGTTCAAACACCCTCACCAGAACAGATCCCAGCATCCCAAGAGGCCTCACCTATGCAGTGGGATGAATGGGACTCGCGTCATATCCCATCTTCGACTACACTACCAGAGACACCCATCAGGCGGTGGACGATGCTACCCCTGCTTCTACGAGGGACATTCAAAACATGCTTGCTGGCCTCCAACAAAACCTCCAACACATGTGGGAGGCTGACCTGGCAGTGCTCACAACCGAAGTACAAACTGACAGCACGCATCCAAGCTATGGAAGAGTTTTCATATGTTTTTATCATAGCATTAGTTTTATTTAAATTTTTCATGTTTGTTTCTCTTTATTTTGACCATGACATATTGGACCCGACTTATTTACATAACACGTGTACTGTCTTACAAGGCTGTAATTATATGTTCCAGGGATATACTCCTCCCTGCCCCCCATCGGCCCATGCTATTGCTTGTGACAGAGCTCTTTTTTTTAACAAGCAATGGGCCTTTAATAGACATATCACCCTACTATATGAACTAAATAGGTTATTTTCGACCTGGTGACACCGCTCATGCTCCAACTTCCCTAGCTTCTACTTAGCAATACCTTCAATGGCTACTCTGCTTAACAATAATGCGAAATACTCTTTTGTTTATTATTTTTCTTAAGTGCATCGTTACTCTTGTTACTACTCCCTAGACCAATTTAATATGCAGTGTACTGCACCAATTCTATATAAAAATGTGCAATGTTTACTAGTGCCATGCCTTCAAATCAATATGTCAGTTGTTAAACTTTGTGCCTATGCTATCATGGCATTATATTAAAATCAGAGAGAGCAAAAATCAATAATCAATCAACAATCAACGATAAAATAATAAACTCTCAAAGTTAATAAAAGCAGCTAAAAATACATTAGAAATTTCCCAATTTCATATAGACAATACAGAAAAAAACGTGTTAGCGCTAATTGTGATAGGAACCCTCAAAAGTAAAAAAGGGCACTCTACATATATTCTCAAGAAGAAAAAATACTCGTAGCCATATATAAAACACAATGTCTGTTAGTTACCAATAAGCCTTACTTCTGTTCATGGTACATATTGGCAATGTGTACACATCTTCTAAGAAAAAAGTGTGCATTCAACTGTCCCAAAGTTCTTTGGTATTTTAGGGGTTAATTGCTGATACAGGGTTACAATCCGCTGGCTAAAACCACAGTAGTTTTATAGCATCCAGATGGTACCTTTAAAGGGACACTATAGTCACCCGAACAACTTTAGCTTAATGAAGCAGTTTTGGTGTATAGAACATGCCCCTGCAGCCTCACTGCTCAGTCCTCTGCTATTTAGGAGTCAAATCCCTTTGTTTATGAACCCTAGTCACACCTAGGGTGCATGTGACTTGCACAGCCTTCCATAAACACTTCCTGTAAAGAGAGCCCTATTTAGGCTTTCTTTATTGCAAGTTCTGTTTAATTAAGATTTTCTCATCCCCTGCTATATTAATAGCTTGCTAGACCCTGCAAGAGCCTCCTGTATGTGATTAAAGTTCAATTTAGAGATTGAGATACAATTATTTAAGGTAAATTACATATGTTTGAAAGTGAAACCAGTTATTTTTTTCATGCAGGCTCTGTCAATCATAGCCAGGGGAGGTGTGGGTCGGGCTGCATAAACAGAAACAAAGTGATTTAACTCCTAAATGACAGTGAATTGAGCAGTGAAATTGCAGGGGAATGATCTATACACTAAAACTGCTTTATTTAGCTAAAGTAATTTAGGTGACTATAGTGTTCCTTTAAATGGATACAAGAGAAAATCTCATAGCGAAACACTGTTTATTAAACATAAAAAGAAAACCTCTTCACCCCCCAAAAGGAACCCTTACATGGACATATAGTGATACTTGTCTCCAAGTTTATCGTAAGATGCCCTAATTACCCACAATTATTACAACAAGCTTCAGAAACAGCAAGAGATGTCTCTAAGCTTCTCAAACCAAGACCTCAAGGAGTCCATCGACAATGCACTCTAACTTCTTCAAACTCACTCCTCTCAACTAACAATATTAGAGACAAGACAAAGTGCCACGGAGGACGAATTACACCAACTACAATCAACTATTCAACAACATTCCACGCTGGTCTCCTTGCAAGACAAATCGAACGATCTAGAAAATAGAAGCAGACGAAACAATCTTAGATTTGTTCGATTTCCAGAAACCTTAAAACTGAGTGATCCTATCCCTGCTCTCCAGTCCTGGATATTGGACACTTTACAGATTGTGTCTGCTTCCACCACTCCTCCACTCATTAAAAGAGCAGACAGGCTGGGCCCAGACAACCAGGGCAAAGATTCAAAACCACAACCTATCATCGCAAAATTCTTAAATTTTTATGACACTGTTAGTATTCTAGCACCATTCAAAGCCTTGGCTAATGCCACATACCAGGGCCACAAAATGTTGATTTTCAAGGACTATTCCGCTCGAGTCGCTCAATGACGCAAAGCATTCACACCTATTTGCTCCACATTATATAAAAGAGGCATACGTTTTGCCATACTCTACCCTGCTACACTTCGACTACAAATAGCAAATCATACTCTCTCTACCTCATCAGTGGTGGAGGCCTCAAAGTTCCTCCAGGATGTCATGCCACCCTATGACAAAGACTCTCCGAGCTCTCCTGCCAGCCCCTCACCCAATTGTGAGGAACTCACCCTCTTTTAGCCACCAGGCCCTGTTCTTGAAAGACTCGTCATGTGCCTCGCCCACTCTATCCCTGGGACTCATCCGTCTGCTCGAGTTGGGATGGGCGGAATCCCGTAGCTAATTATTCCCTCACGCTACACCATGCTCCTCACCGAGGAATTGGCTAACCAATGATGTCTAATCCAACCCACAACACTCCTGCTTCCTCTGTCAGGTTTCTCTCCTGGAATGTGAAGGGTGCTAAAAATACTCACCTATTTAACAAAACCGAAGTCACACTGTTACAGGAAACTCATTGGTCATGCTCCGACACCACTCAACTTAAAGTTCATTGGATCCAGTCCTGTATAGTTGCTAAATATACCTCCAAGGCCAGATGAGTGGTGACCTTGTTACACCCCGGCTTGCAATATGTAATCCACAGTTGTGACACAGACCCTGAAGTATGTTATATTACGATCAACAATATTTGTTATTGCATTGTCAATGTTTATGCTCCAAATTAAAATGCTAACCCCTTCATCACAAAATTACTAACCCTTATCACTCAAATTGATGTTGACCAAATAATAGTAGGGGGAGACGTTAATGCTGTTCTTGACCCATCTAAAGACAGATCCTCAATGGGATCCACACCTACCACAGACGGTGATCGCATGCTTACACATTTCAGTACCTCATGTAATTTGCATGACCCGTGCAGGATACTGTCAGGTCCATGATTACTTTTCTAGGATTGATAGGTTTCTAGTTACCCAGCAATTTTGCCATACATAACCAATGCTACCATTGAGATGATAGCTGTCTCGAATCACGTACCCATCACCCTGCTCCACCACCATTCAACCTCCCTCCCATTCACTGCTCATTGGCACTTCCCAGTATATCTCACTAATAATTCGTCTTTCCAGGATCATTTAAAGTCCAGTTGGGCTAACTTTATTGATGACAATTTAGAACACACGGATGACCCCAAACTACTCTGGGAGACGTCCAAAGCGGTCATGAGGGGACATATTATCTCTTATACTGCGTCAGCCAAAAAGAAGTGGAGACAGGACTTTGCCTTACTGGAGGGTGACCTCAAACAGGCACAAAGACAATATTTGACTAACCCTTCTCTTGAACACAAACAATTATACCAAAACGCCCAAAATGTACTTAATACATTTGTTGCGATCCATGCTTAGTCCAAACTACATTTTCAGCAACAACACTTCTTCAGATGGGGTGGAAGGTCTGGGAAACTTCTGGCTCGTCTGGCCAGTCCGAGATCGAAATTCAAACCTAATACTGCAATCACCTCCCAGGAGGCCACTAGATGCGCCTCTTATACTTTGACTAATGATCTATTTTATGACTATCACCGATGGTTGGACATGACCCCCCCGGATGATTACGCCCACAGTATGTCCTTTCTTATAAACCTTAATCTTACGCAGCTGGTCGAGGAGTCCAGGGAGCTCCTCAGTGAGCCAATAACGGAAAATGAAATACATGGAGCTATAAAAAACTCTAAAATCAGGGAAAGCACCTGGCCCCGATGGCTTCACGGGTGAATAGTATGAAACCCTGAAACTACAAATTGGCCCCACCCTCAAAAACCTATTCAACCAAATATATCTGGAGGGTCTACCGATTGATTCCCTTAATCAGGCACGAATCACTCTTCTCCCAAACCTAACAGAGATGTTGAAGTTTCCCAAATACTCTACACCAAGTGTGCTTCACTGCACCACTGACTTTTCAATAGGATCCCAAGGTTGTAAACTCTACCCCTTTCTAACCTTTCAATAATTGTGCTCTCACTTCTTTAGCACCACATTTGCATTTCTTCCCTTAACTCAAGATAGCATGGTATCCCTGCGGCCTTGTCGGGGCATCGAACCACTTGCTGGATGCTTTGATGATATCCAGGTGTGAATTAAATGCCAATCTGTTGCCTCAATTGGCAGTCCAATACAGAGAATGACACCACCACTTGCTATTCGGGCATCTTGGGGGAGTGGTTTGGTCCCTCCTTTCGGGCCTGCGGGAGATATGCACAATCCATACTCTTCCAGACTATTCAGGTACTCACTATATAAATAATGGTTAGGGTCAGACTAACCTACCTCTTACAACAATTGTTTTACATCAACATCCTCAGATACACTAAACAGACTAAACAGACTACTTATTATCTGCAACCTTGGGGGACTGGACGGTTAAGGTTTATTTATTTTTTTAATTCTTTTGTTTCGTTATACAAAACTTTATTCCAAGTAGCAAAAAATGAATGCACACTTTTATAATTTGACCTACCTGTATCACTGTTGTGCCATACCTATTCTGACATTTCAGTTGAGTCTGTGTTATGGACCACATATACAGCCTGGTATCTTGTCAGGACTTGAGTGAATGGGCTTATTTGATTTACGATATACATGTATTATTCATTGATCCTCACTTTTAGACTGTTTATTGAGAGAATATCTAACCTTTCTCCCTTTGGTGGCAGTGGAACAACTCATTCTCTGGTGGTTGTTCTCCCCCTACCATGGGGCGCTTCCGACTTCCGTTCACACCATCCATTGCCCCTTAAACTCTCTTTTCTTTTTGTTTGTTTTCCTATAATCAGGAAATGAGTGTTTGCCTGTTATTACTGTATACTACCATCTTCGATAGTTTGATTTGTATCTTTGATGACACTTCAATATGTCTTTGTACAACTTCTACAAACATTCTTAATAAAAACTGTTTGAGGGGAAAAAAACTGAAAAAAATTGTAAAAATAAAATAAAAAATCTTTCAACATTTTTATAACAATATTTCTAAATAAAAACTAAAATAAATACATTTCAAAATAGTTCAAAATATATTTAAACATTACAATGAGATTGACATTGTACTGCAAAGCCCTCTTCACTGCAGCGAGTGCTGACTTGCAGGCTATGGAGAAAAGTATAAAACATGGTGATTAGAGAACAGATAATATAAATTGCTTATTAACAGCAATTGTATGGAAAACATGGTACACAGTCCTCAAGCTTGTCTTCAAAATACTGCCTGATGTGGTCCATTGCCCCTTTTAGTGATATAGATGCCACTAACCTCATAGCCAAGTCATAGACAGAGGCAGGGGCTAATATCATGACCATATATGACAAAAAACAGACTATAGTAACTATTATTATACAAACGTACTGTTAGAAGTTATAGTCAACTGGAAACAGAGAACTAAGTGTTTCTTAAAGGGAAACTATAGTCACAGAACCACCAGATATATATGTTTCTACCTGCTGAAAGATAGGTGTATATATCGTTTTCCCCAGGATTTTATAATATTAGACATTATGTGCCCTGATTACAATAATATGTTAACAATTTTATTTCTATTTGTAAATGGATATTGTTGATGGATGTTTTTATAACCGTTTCCTACAGCTAGAATACTAAATCTCACTCTTCACCTTTAAACCTAACTTTGTAACCCCTCCGACAAGTTCCCACAAACTATAGACTGACATAGTTTCTAAAGAACCACCAAAGTCACCCAGTCTACTTCATCTCAATGAAGTGGTCTTGGTGCCGTGGCCCTTTTGTCTTAACCCTTCAATGTAAAACAAGCAATTTCGTAGAAACTGCAATGTTTACATTGAAGGGTTATATACACCGCTAGTGGCTGTCTTTCTGACGGCCACTAGAAGCGCTTTGGCCTCCAGAATCGAGTCCAACTAAGTTCTTCAATCAAATATTGCTCATAAAGAGCAATTGATTTTAGGAGCGCGATGGTTGGCCGCAAATGCGTATCTTGTC